TATATATATATATATATATATATATATATATAATTATTTTTCAAGGGGTCCTAAAGAAAATATAAAATATTAATATGAATTTATAATCATAACAAATATTATATAGGAATATTATTTATATATGACAAACCCCTATGAATGTATAATCATAACAAATATTATATAGGAATATTATTTATATATTGTTTGTGACAAACCCCTTGAGATGTACTATGTGGTTTTGAGGAGGTCCCAACAATTTATTAATAAAATATGATTAGATGTATGAATATATACATAATCATGACAATTAAATAGTAATTAGGAATATTTATATACATTGTGACAAACCCCTTGAGATGTACATTCTCTTTTTCCAGGAGGTCTCAAAATCTAATATATAAACTAAAATTTGTTAATTATGAAGTAATATAACAATATTAATATAATAATAAAACAACAACATTTAATTTTAATTCGAATATTATTTATTTTGGAATCCCTAAATATAATTTAATATAAATTAAAAGGCAGTAAAAAAAAAAGTGATATATAGTGATGAGAACTGGAGAAATAAAATAAGCACCTAAAATGAAAGTAATGTCAAAGCTTAATGCAAAATGTAAAGATGCTGATGGGTTGATGACAGGTTTTGTGAGCTTCACCTGAACTGAACTGTGATGGCTGTATGCACCTGCGCTCCTCTCTGAAGATCCTGAGAGAAGCGGAGTGCTTTCATCAGGACACAGAGGCAGAATCACAGAGTTCAGCATCTCTGAGACACACAAACTCAATTTGTGCTTGGTCTGCCTCGCATGCTGTCAGTGTGTGTGATCAGTTACCTGAGCAGTCCTGAGCTCTTATGAGATGTTGGGGATCTTGCAACCTGTTTGTGCGCCATAAGCCCAGACCCTGCAGATACTGTAACATCAGCATGACATTAAAAACCACTGCAACTTAAAACGCTGGCATGTAATGCAATATAGAGCTTTTCTTTTACAGTGTATAAAACTTAAAAGGCAGCGACTGTGAAATATCATCTCAAAAACATTGCAAGAATTAGATGTTTTGTTTCCAGTCAAGACTTGGAGAAACTTATTCATGCCTTTATCACCAGCAGGGTGGACTATTGTAATGGCCTTCTCACCTGCCTTCACAAGAAGACCACTAGACAGCTGCAGCTCCTCCAGAACGCTGCTGCCAGGATTCTGACTTGTGCGCCATAAGCCCAGACCCTGCAGATATACTGTAACATCAGCATGACATTAAAAACCACTGCAACTTAAAACGCTGGCATGTAATGCAATATAGAGCTTTTCTTTTACAGTGTATAAAACTTAAAAGGCAGCGACTGTGAAAATCTGACTTGCGAAAGAACTGGTCAGTTTCTTCAGCAACAAAGCAAACTAGCTTGGTTTTTGTCCTTTTTTGTGCAATTATTAAATTTATAGCATAAAAATTGATTTCTACATCAATTGAATTCCTAAATATATATGAACACGCAAATATTATAACGTATATACAGTACGTCTTACGAGAGCAAAAAAGGTGTTCTCTCAGAAGGCAGATTAGAAACGAAAGTTCATATAGACTGTTACAGAGCAAACTGAGATCACAAGTGACTTCAGTTCATTTAATCAAGCATTTCATCTGCAGGTTTCCTTCATCCCATCAGTGATTGAGAGCTTCAGTCTATGTAACAGCAGCTGTGAAAACAGACCTCATATCAGATACAAAACACACTTCAATATGCATTTTAAAGCCCATTCAACAAAAGACAACCAATGAATGATCAATAACGCTTTATTTTAAAAGTAAGTTTAGCAAAAAGTCAATGAAACGAGAAAAAAAGGTTCAAATGTAACCTGTTCATTCAGTAGGTGATCAGGGTTTCCTCAACACTGCACATATTGTATGTCTAACTCATCAGACACACCTGATTCAACTCAAAGATCATTAATCGAGACTCCAAGACCTCAAATAAGCGTCAGATAAAGGAAGACGTCCAACATGTGCTCTGTTGAGGACACAAAGCATGCTTACAAACGACCTAATCTGTCTAACCAAATCCTGCTGGCCATAAATTAGTAAAAGACTATAGTAGAAAAATGTCATGTAATTTCTGATAGGAAAAATACTCTAATAGTCACATAAACCAGGGAAAACTTCATACAATCTTCAAGGAAGTCTTTTTGTTTTATAAAATACGCATTACAAATAAAAGTGTTTGGTACATAAAATAGCTTTCAAAACATGGGATGTGTTATGGGTTTTTACCATACAGTGTTAATTCAGCATAGTCAACATATTATAGGGTGACCATACGTGCCATTTTCCCAGGACGCGTCCTGGCCAGGATTTCTATATTGCCTAAAATATCTAGGTTTTGGCTTTGTTTGCGTGTGCAGACCGATCGGTGTATGACATCAAAATACCATACAGACGGTTCCTTATGCTTTCAAAATGCTCTGGAGGTATTTTGATGTCATACACCGATCGGTCTGAATACAGTTCATACAAATAGACAGCAACTGTGCAGATATGAAGAAAATGAACACAGTAGAAATATTTCTTGTTTTGCTATGCTAAGTAGTGTTTGTGTGTGTGTAGTGCTCCAGGAGGTCTTTATGGAGTAGTGTAAAGGTAGAAACAGACACTTGAAGGCAGCCACATCATCTGAAGTGCTTCACCAGCTCTGAAATAACAGATTTAATATAGATATTAGTATATTTAAAGGAGTAGTCCAAAAATGGAAATTTGCTGACAACAGGCCACCCAGTATGTAGGTGAGTTTCTTCATGGGAACAGATTTGGAGAAATGTAGCATTGCATCACTTGCTCAGCAGTGGATCCTCTGCAGTGAATGGGTGCCGTCAGAATGAGAGTCCAAACAGCTGATAAAAACATCCACAAGTAATCCACACCACTCCAGTCCATCAGTTAATGCCTTGTGAAGTGAAAAATCGCATGTTCGTAAGAAACAAATCTACCTATAAGGCGTTTCAACTTAATTCAAGAAATACGAGTCCATACGCAAAATATGAGTCCATAATCCATAATGACGCTTCATCAAGTAAAATCCGCTGTTGTCCTCTCACATCAAAATCCACCAGCTTATTTAGAACTGCTTGTAAATGGTAATTGATCTGTGCATATTTCTCTCCTGATTCAGGCAAGATGATTTTTTCACTGGAGGAAACAATATTATGGATTATGGACACACATTTTTGCCAGAAGCAACAGTTTGAAGGTAAAAATGTCTTGATGGATTTGTTTCTTACAAACACACAGCTTGTGGATTATTGTGATGTGTTTATCAGCTGTTTGGACTCTCATTCTGACGGCACCCATTCACTGCAGAGCATCCACTGCTGAGCAAGTGATGTAATGCTACATTTTTCCAAATCTGATGAAGAAACAAACTAATCTACATTTTTGATGGGCTGATACATTTTGATTGTGTATGCATGTACTAAACGCATCTACGGTGCTTTAGAAGGACAGGAGGCTGTAGGTAACCTATGTGTGATCAGACAGCAGTCGTTCAGAGGAGGCCGCAGGACTTGGGCGGGCGGAAGGGGTTGTCGCTGGACGGTACACCCACCAGCAGCGGGTCTTTATGGCCGTTCTGCAGGCAAAAGTTCTTCAGGTCTGTGGCAGCTTGAGAAACCTACAGAAATTACAATTAAGTCGACATTTTAAACGATAATATGCATTGAGTGCACACACCCCTGAGCAAACGTAACAGTTTTATTCCTGTCTATATTTTGAAGGTTTTATCGAGGGGTTAAAAACAAGAATTCTGAAACTTGCCTTATCTAATGTTCAGGATTCTGTTCTGGAAATGTATGCAAATTAGTGCAAATTTAATCAGCTAATACATAATTTGCGCATTTAAACATAACATTTCAAAAGACTTTTGGAAAATTATTCTTAATGTACTGTGATCAAGTTTTTTTTTTAACCTATTAGTACCTTGCCCTACATTTATGGTTGTAATAAGCTTTTCTATAAGTTATCTGATCGCTTCTGAGCATTAAACAAAGTAAATCTGTTTTTGTCAGAGTGGCATGAGGAATTTATAGGATGTAAAAAGTAATTAACTGAAAAACTAGGTTAACACTACTTTGAAAAAATAACATTGGCAAACATTGCATTTAAAGTGAAATTTATTGCACAGTATTATAAAAAAAAAAGGCATTTTCATATTGGGGTCTTTTAGGCTGGGTCACCATAATTAATGCACACAAAAACAAAAAGTTTAGTTTGGACACATACCAAGGTTTTACAATTGTATTCTTAAAAGTAACATAATATACAATGAATTACCATAGTATTGCAATCTGATACCATCACTCATAGTACCACCACCAGAGCTTCAGTTTGCATATATTTACATTATTAATGAGCATGAGAAACAACTTCTAACAGTTGTCTGAACTTTACGCCTAAAATACGCTTCTGGCAGTTAAAAAACTCGTATAAAACAGCTTAAAAGCATCTCGGACGTCAAAAAAACTAAAGTTATTTACCTATACAACGCGTTTAAAATGTTGTTTTGTCGGTTAGCGTTAGCACTAGCAGTGACTCAAACCGGATAAACTCATCCATAAACTCTCCAAATCCAAAACTCTTTCACGTTTATTGTTGAAGCTGGCATACTTACGTTAATTCGCCGTATTTTGGCCTCTAGTCTGAGCTGTTTGACGGCTTTCTGCACCACAGCCACACTGCTGCTGCTAGCGTTATTGTTGGACATGATGACTGTATGTGCTATTGCCCTACACCAACCCTACCCCTAAACCAACCCCTTACAGGAAACTTTGTGCATTTTTACTTTCTCAAAAAAACTCATTCTGTATGATTTATAAGCTTGTTTCCTCATGGGGACCTCAAAAATGTCCCCACAAGGTCAAAATTTACTAGTATTACTATCCTTGTGGGGACATTTGGTCCCCATAACGTGATAAATACCAGGTACACACACACACACACACACACACACACAATGTTGTGTTTCCATGTTTTATGGGGACATTCCATCGGTGTAATGGTTTTTATACTGTACAAACTATTTTCTATCGCCCTACACCTAAACTTAGCCCTCACAGTAAACTTTCTGCATTTTTAGATTTTCAAAAAACTTCCTTCTGTATGATTTATAAACTTGTTTCCTCATGGGGACCTAAAAAATTTGGTCCCCATAACGTGATAAATACCAGGTACACAATACAAGGTAGAGTGTTATTATTAGCCTATATATATATCTTTCATAATCTCTTGAAAATTTAATTCTGTTCTAGGGACACAAAAATATGACATTGTGATGTACAAAAGGTACAAAAGCTGTTAATGGGGTGATACTTTTTCAAAAGTCACTGAATTGTGCCATTTACGTACTAATATTTACCTTTAAGTTACTAATATGCCCCCGTTATGGGTAAATATGGTACAAATGTGTAGCTTTTGAAAAGGTACTGCCTCACTGACAGCTTTTGTACTTTTTTATTGTAGTGTACATATGGCTCAGACTCCTCCTTCGATGTGGGCCTTTTATCATTTCCAACCGATGAAGTGATGAACACAACACAACTGATGAACTCATTTTGAGTTATGTTCAAGTCCTCGTCAAAAACAATGTGGGAAATTATGCATGGTAAGCATGAGCTATACTAATAATGATATTTGGTGCCTTCAGAGCTACAATATTTCCCGTAGTTATGACACCATCTAAGACAAGTGTGGTCAGCAGTTTTTTTTTTTTTTCCAGAGTTGATATACATTTCTCACCATAGTTTCACAGGGGAAGAGGACATGTTGTTTTGGTCTCAGGCTATCTTGTCTCACCAGTCTTTGTCTTTACTTCTGTTTTTATGCTCGTCATTAGAAGACTACAGTATCATGGTAATATATTTCATTTTAAATCATGTTTAGTTAAAATTACTGCGATGATTGATTGCTTACTGCACTGCACTGCATTTTAGCACAAGACAACACTTATGGTAGTAAGGAACAGTCTGGTCATTTGTGGTCACTTTAAGTCAAGCAATGATAAGAACAAGGCTTCTATTACATGCTTCTGTAAAAGGTTAAGGAATAATGACAACAGAATACATATTATTTACTTGTCTTAATTAAGTGTGTGAAGACTGAATCAGATATTTGATTCATGGAGGTTTATGCATGATAAATCTCATGTCTTGCAGGTGTGTCCAGCTCTACTGCTTCAATCCTTCATCTGGATCTCTCTGATGGCAAAGGGTAACATACCTGTGATGTGGTAACGTAATGAACACCAGTCTTTACCGAAGACTGTTTTCCGATAAGCAGAAAACAAAGCTGTTTTACTGGCAGCACATTTGCGTAAAACAACTTCTCTTACAGCATCCAGTGTCACTTCAGTTGAGGTCAAATGGTCACAGTTTACAGCTTTCTGTACTTGCAGTGTAGTCCCTTCTGAGCCCTTTATTTTTAAGAGTTTTAAGGTTCTTCATGGAACCATAATGCTAATTAAGAACCTTGATTTTTAGTGTGTCTCAAAGCAGCCTTCCAAGCATGCACTGGTGTGTATTCCAGGTGTGCAGTATGACGTGACTCATATCGTCAGCACAATGTGTGTGGTCCGGCAGTCGATGGTGCTCATACCCTGCAAATACACTTCTCGATACGAGCAGGTGAGCGCAGCCGAATGGCTCTTTGAGAAATCGCCGTGGTAGAGGGTCAGGGTTTCTCAGGACCCTGCGTTTGTAGGCCGTGTGGAGTTTGTGCAGCCTGCCGCGGGAAACTGCTCGCTGCTGCTGAGGGACGTGAGGGAGAGTGACGCTGGCATCTTCCGGTTTGTGCTCAGCACTGCTTCCGGGCGAAATTAGACAAACGATCAGGGAATCCAGCTAGAAGTAACAGGTGAGTGGAGAGCCGGATAGGTGATAGGTGTGAATAAAGACCTTTTACATTTCAATGTAAGAACTGGAATTGAACTGATTATACAGAATCAACCACTAATCATTTTGGGCTGCTTAAAGCTAAACCATGTAACTTTTTTTCAGAAATAACAATATTTAAATAATAAGCGAGTACACTATGCAAGTTGTGGCCCTCTAGCGGGCGAAGCATAAAACTACATGTTACTGACTTGCGTTTTTTCCTTCAACCGCTAGGGGTCCAAAAGCTACACAGTGTAGCATTTTGAAAAATGTAAATATAAAGATCTTGTCTCACAAAAAGATCTTTATATTTATATTGATTCCTTGGGCAGATGTCCATATCCAGAGTAATTTACATCGCATTGCATTACATTTACATAAACTATAGCAGCGGTTCTCAAAGTTTTTGGGGCCAGGGACCCCTCACAGGGGAGAAAACTTTCCAAGGACCGCTAATAATTATAAAAGCAGTTAAGCATATGCTTACTACAATTTGTACTCTTTCGGCACTTCTGTTTTCCTGGAATTTGGATTTTTTTCTGGATTATATTAAATGTACCTTTTTTCCCCATTAAAAAAAAACAAAAAACAAAATTTCATAATAGTCTGATAATTTGAAATCATACAATATATAGTTTATCAAAAACTATGAAATCTGTTTTATTTTTTTCTCAAATTTAGTTTTATTCTCAAATTCAGTGTTTTACATTTTAAATTTTCTGGATTTCATTTTAATGGTTTAATTACATTTTAATAATCCAAAAGGATGTTTAATGAATTAAACTTAATATTTTATTACATTTTTACAACAATATATGGCCATATGAAATGTTTTACTTTCTTCAGAAAATCTGTGTTGTTTTTTTTTCTTTATTTTTAAAGGAATAGTCACACTATTTTTGATATTTGTGTTATTTAACATTTAATTATTGCATGTTTGCATCATATTCTGAATTTGCATTTCACTGTTTATATTAATTTCAAGGAATACTAAAGGGAGGGGAGTAAATGCATGCTCACATTTAGTCTAGCAATTCCCCATTCAAATCTAGGGGAAGTCGTGGCCTAAAAATTTTCTGGATTTCATTTTAATGGTTTAATTACATTTTAATAATCCAAAAGGATGTTTAATGAATTAAACTTAATATTTTATTACATTTTTACAACAATATATGGCCATATGAAATGTTTTACTTTCTTCAGAAAATCTGTGTTGTTTTTTTTTCTTTATTTTTAAAGGAATAGTCACACTATTTTTGATATTTGTGTTATTTAACATTTAATTATTGCATGTTTGCATCATATTCTGAATTTGCATTTCACTGTTTATATTCATTTCAAGGAATACTAAAGGGAGGGGAGTAAATGCATGCTCACATTTAGTCTAGCAATTCCCCTATATACCTAAAGGTTGCGAGTTTGAGCATCTCTGAGCATCTCGAGCATCTCTTCGAGCATCTCTGAGCATCTCTGTTGATCTCAGGTCCGGCAGGGATTGTAGGTGGGGGGAGTGAATGTACAGCGCTCTCTTACACCTTCAATACCACGACTGAGGTGCCTTTGAGCAAAGCACCGAACCCCCAACTGCTCCCCGGGCGCTGCAGCAAAATGGCTGCCCACTGCTCCGGGTGTGTGTTCACGGTGTGTGTGTGTGTGTTCACTGCTGTGTGTGTGCACTTAGGATGGGTTAAATGCAGAGCACTAATTCCTAGTATGGGTAACCATACTTGGCCACATGTCACTTCACTTCACTTCACTTCAATACAACAAGCATTAATACAATGCTTCTGCACTTACTCCCGATTTCTCTAAACATGGGAAAAAATCGGAAAACAAAGTAACTAGTGTTACTTATTTGAAAAAGTAACTTAAAAATAAAAAGTAATGTGTTAGTAACTTGAGTAATTTAAAGTAAAGTAGTCTGATTACATAACTTATGTTACTTGTAATGCGTTACCGCTGATAAACACACGTTAAGCATAAACTTCTTCTTTCTGGTCCAGATGCGGAGCTGGAGGTAAAGACCGAGTCTGATGTTGTGATGGAGGGAGACTGGATTTTGTTTGTCTGTGGTTCATGCATCCCCTCTATGACTGTACCAACCTACATTTGGAGGAAAGATGGGCATCTGCGCAGTCAACACCATAGGAACAACATACTTGTTTTGGAGTCTGTCGAGCTGGAGGACAGAGGCCGATATTCCTGCACCATAAGCGGTCATGAGGGACTCAACTCCATCACATCTGCTGAAATCACTGTTAGACCTGGATGTAAGTTAGCTGAGAGCTTTATTTTGAAACATCTGATGTGTCTTCAGAATGAAATGACAGTTCTTTCTGCAGGGAAAAAAATTGAGTATTGTTTATCCACAATCATCAGTCTGTTTCACTGTTTCTGATAATAAAGCTTACAAAGCAACAGCAATAAACATGGTTTGAGTTGAGTACAACTGTATGTTTTACTGCTTGTCATTCCTCACTTCTTTGTCTGTTTAGATCCTCCAAAGAGCGTCTCAGTGTCCATCAGTGCGTCTGGTGAAATAGTGGAGGGAGATTCAGTGACTCTGCGCTGCAATAGTGATGAAAAACCACCTGCAGAAATCAGCTGGATTAAGTCTGTTTCAGTCTCTGTTAAAGGTGAGAATCATCTCTGTTGATCTCAGTCAGCTCATTGTCTGTATGTAAAGAGTAACAGTTCTTCTTCCTCTCGTCTGCACGGCTGAAGAAAGCAGCTCATCTCTGATCAGGGTGACGGTGGGAATCACTGCAGCTGTTGTCTTGATGTCTGTGGTTTTCATCGGGCTGTTGATCACAAGGTGAAGGAGACTCTGTGTCTGTA